GGCGCTGATGGGGGAGGGGGGTGCCTGTTTGGGGGGGGAGGATGAAAAGGGGGCTGGGGACTGAAGGCTACGCAGCATGGGCTTTGCGACACTTGAAACATGGGTTTTGTAGTATTGTTGCGCTGATGGGGAAGGGGCTTTGTGGAGAGGTGGCTGCCTGTTTGGGGGGAGGATGAAAAGGGGGCAGGGACTGGAGGCTACGCAGCATGGGCTTTGCGACACTTGAAACATGGGTTTTGTAGTACTGTGGCACTGGTGGGGGAGGGGCTTTGCTGGGGAGGGGGCTGCCTGTTTTGGAAGGGGGTCTTCAGTCAAGGGAGCAGGGGAATTGAGGGGACGGGGTTGGCTTCCTGAGTTTGGGGAAAGCACATATGGGCTGCCCTAGTGAATGGGGGGGGGATAATGATGAAGGGGGAGAAAGAGATGGGGGGGGTCTTTACCTGGAGGGGGAGGGGGTGTGCCAGGTCTTGGAGTGCCAAGGAGAACCCAGTCACATGAGGTGGGCTATCTTTGCCTACAGGGAAGGGTCTTGGACCTGTAACTCCGGCAGTCCTCCGCTTACAACCGTCCCACCTTCCCACCTTTCTCCCCACCGTTCTTAAGTGAATCGCTGCACTTGTGAAGTTAGTAACCCGGTTGTTAAGTGAATCTGGCTTCCCCATTGACTTTGCTTGTCAAAAGGTCACAAAAGAGGACACTGCAGTCGTCATAAATAGGAACCAGTTGCCAAGCCTCTGGATTTTGATCACATGACCGCGGGGATGTCACAACGGTCGTATGCGTAAAAACACCGCCTTAAGTCCCTTTTTTCAGGGCTGTTGTAACTGAGCGGTCACTAAATGAAGTAAGGCGAGGACTACCTGTACTGGCAGGTGGGGGGGGGAATTGTCAGAATAGGGGCACACCCAGGGGAGGGGTTGTTGGGAAATGGAAAGCCAACAGGGACACAGAAAAATTGGGCTGGTGCCCAGCAGCTTTGGGCCTTCTTGGATGGGAGACCACTAAGAAAGCCCAGATTGTGTGCTAGACTGCAAAATAAACCGAAACCACGATGGGAGACTTGACCGATAGAGATCTGTCTGACTCTGCCTAGCCGGAAGTTATGGCCCCAAAGACATGCGTGTGTGTTGTGCCATTAAATTAAGTACGGTATTTACAATAGGTGCTATTAAGAGGCAGCTGGAACTACAGGATTTATTTGGTTTAGTGCAGGAGTAGGGAACCTTGGCTCTTATAACTCGTGGACTTCAACTCCCAGAATTCCTGAGCCAGCATGGGGGAACTATGGCCCCCTTCATTATTATTATTATTATTATTTATTGAATTTATATCCCGCCCTTCTCCTTGCGGACTCAGGGCGGCTGACAATCAATTTAAAAATACATCAAAAACAATTACAAAATTTAAAATTAATTAAAAAGAAATATTTAAATGTCTAATTAAAATATGAATAAAACCCTTCTAAAAATTCCCCTAGGCCAGTCCCGCTTGTTGGAATAGCCATGTCTTAAGGGCGCGGCGGAAGGAAGGGAGATCAGGGATCACCCTGATCTCTGGGGGCAGCTCATTCCAGAGGGTGGGAGCTCCCACAGAGAAGGCCCTCCCCCTTGGGGTCGCCAGCCGGCACTGTCTGGCCGACGGCACCCTGAGGAGACCCACCCTGTGGGAGCGTACTGGCCGATGGGAGGTAATCTGTGGCAGGAGGCGGTCTCGAAGGTATCCCGGTCCGCTGCCATGGAGCGCCTTAAAGATGATAGTCAGCACCTTGAAGCGCACCCGGAAGGCCACCGGCAGCCAATGCAGCTCGCGCAGCAGCGGCATTACGTGGGAGCGACGAGTCCCTCCCAACACCGCCCGCGCGGCCGCATTTTGGACTAGCTGGAGCCTCCGGGTGCTCCCCAAGGGAAGCCCCATGTAGAGAGCATTACAGTAGTCCAGGCGGGAGGTGACCAGAGCATGAGTGACTGTGCGCAAGGCATCCCGGTCCAGAAAAGGCCGCAACTGGTGAATCAGGCGGACCTGATAAAACGCCCCCCTGGTCACGGCCGCCAACTGGTCATCCAGTGTCAGCCGTGAATCCAGGAGGACACCCAAGTTGCGCGCCCTCTCCGAGGGGGCCAAAATTTCGCCCCCTATAGTCAGCGATGGAACCAGCTGACTATGCCGAGGCGCCGGTAGCCACAGCCACTCGGTCTTGGAAGGGTTGAGCCTGAGTCTGTTCATGACTCGTGGACTTCAACTCCCAGAATTCCTGAGCCAGCATGGGGGAACCATGGCCCCTTCATGACTCGCGGACTTCAACTCCCAGAATTCCTCAGCCAGCATGGGGGAACTATGGCTCCCTTCATGACTCGTGGACTTCAACTCCCAGAATTCCTGAGCCAGCATGGCTCAGCCTGGAAACCTCTCCATTTCTCCTCAGCGTGGCTGGCTGAGGAATTCTGGGAGTTGAAGTCCACCAGTCATAAAAGAGCCAAGGTTGCCTACCCCTGGTCTAGTGGTTAAAGCACAGGAGCTAGAAAGCAAAGAGATGATAAATTCAAGTTCTGCCTTAGCCATGAACGAACACCTGGGTGACTTTGGGCCTGTCTGTTTTTCTTAGCCCAGCCCACCTAACAGGGTTGTTGTGAGGAAAATAGGAGGAAGATATGTTGGATCTGTTCATGGCCTTATTTGTAAAAATAAAAATTTAAATATAAATGTGTGGGTTTCCCCTCCAGCTGCCTATTCCTCCTCTCCAAGCAATCATGAGAATTCTTGGGTGGGGGGTTCCTGAGGAGAGAACCCCTCAACACATAAAGAACGGTTGTTGGAATTGGGTATGTCTAATTTAATGAAAACAAAGACTAGGGGAGACATGATAGCAGCATTCCAGTATCTCAGGGTCTGCCCCAAAAAAGAGAGAGTCAAGCTAGATGACCTCCAAAATCCCTTCCAACTTTATTATTATTATTAATGGTTGCAGAAATTGAGTATGTCTAATTTAATGAAAAGAAGAACTAAGGGGTGACATGATAGGCAGCGTTCCAGTATCTCAGGGGCTGCCCCAAAGAAGAGGGAGTCAAAGCACCTGAAGGCAGGACAAGAAGCAACGGATGGACATTAATCAAGGAGAAAAGCAACTCTAAAACTAAGGAGAAACTTCCTGACAGAACAATTAACCAGTGGAACTCCTTGCCTCCAGAAGTTGCGAATGCTCCAACGCTGGAAGTTTTAAAGAAGAGATTGGACAGCCATTTTTTCCGGAATGGGATAGGTGGATCTCCTGCCTGAGCAGGGGGTTGGACTAGAAGACCTCCAAGGTCCCTTCCAACTCTGTTACTCTATATTCTGTGCCTTTGCTGCGTTTTTTTCTGAATTCCAGGAAATCCTCAGATTAGCAACCTTGGCGGAGTTAACTGAGCGACTGTGCATCACTGCGCTAAATCCTGAATGAATGTTTTGAAAGCCACACAATAGCAGCTTGTAAAAGAAAGAAGGCAAGCCCGTTCTCATTGTTTCCGAAAAGCTTTCTAAGGCTGCAGGCTCAACAATTGAGGCAGGCCTCTGAGGTTTATGATATAGTCACGCACTCTTGAGTATTCATGTTGGGAATTTGTTTTCATTTTGCCTCGCCTTTGGTAGAAAACACGGAGTTGTCAGACCCGAACAGGTGATTCTTCGGAGGCTATTCTCGCAACCCTCTGAATTTGGGGATTTGCAGTTGAATACATTTGCATCAGTGTATGGCTGTGAAAGTTGGGCCGTAAGAAAGGCGGAGCGCAAAAGAATGGAGGCCTTTGAACTCTGGTGCTGGAGAAGACTCCTGCGAGTCCCCTGGACTGCAAGGCGATCCAACCGGTCAGTCCTGGAGGAGATCAACCCCGACTGCTCTTTAGAAGGCCAGATCCTGAAGTTGAAACTCAAGTCCTTTGGCCACCTAATGAGAAGGAAGGACTCCCTGGAGAAGGGCCTGATGCTGGGAAAGATGGAGGGCAAGAGAAGAAGGGGACGACAGAGAAGGAGGTGGCTGGATGGAGTC